CCACATGTACTAGATAATCTATTTTATATAGACGATTACTTATTTGTTGTAAACAATTACACACAGCACCGACTCCAATAAAAAAAACCTGCAGATCTTGGTGTCTATAAAGAACTAGAGCTCTTATCTACCATTTAAAGGTACCCATATTCTTGTCTAATGATTGATTTAGTGTACCAGGTTAACGATTTGTCTTCATCTTTGCTAACAAATTCAAAGCAATACAATCTAAAAAGGATACTTTGAGTTTTTTTAAAACTGCTGGGAACTCTTTAATTCCATTCAAAATCAAAACACACAAATCAACATTTAACAAATACAACACACAAATTTGGTTTTATAAAATTTTTTATAAAATCCGACAGTTTAAACGTTATATTTTTCAAATAATTGATTTATTTAAATATATGTTGTAGACACAAACATTAAGTAAACAACTACAACAAAAACATAGATGGATTCAACAGCTACAATATTTGTAATACTTTTAACATTGTTGTTGTTGTTTATATTATTTTTTATGGGTGGGTTTATTTGTGGTGTTGATTTAATGATACCACATGTTGCTTGATAAACATTTATTGGTTTTTCATAATAGTCATAGCATAATTTTAGGGGGCGTTTTAATATTTTTTTTATGTTTTTTTGTTTTTCTTTTGGAAAAAATAAAGGTTGATTTTTATTTTAAGCTAAGTAAGCTGATGTTTTTCAACAATTCATTTTATACTATTGAATTAATAATAATTTCACTTTATGTTATTTATTTTTTTATCAAATTGACTAGATCTTAAATCAACAAACCATTAAACCACCCCTTGGAAAAAACACACAGCGTATAAGGTATTTTTAATAAATGTAATTTATAATTTACATGGAGGGGTTGTTGTTATTGGTAGTGATTTTTAACTTTTAAAATAATTATTTTCTTTTTTACACGCTTTATAGCAACAACAAAAACTTAGCTAAATTTAACTTTTTTCCCAGAAAAAAGGTCAGTTATGATTTTATCTCTGCTGGGTTTAATAGATTTATATATATATTTTTTTTTAAGAAAATGTGTTGATGTCCTTGTTCTTTTGTCTTAAGGCTTAAGTTTTATTTTATATTAAATTTATGGCCTTGTTTTTTAGCACTTTTTTCTCCTTATTAAGGAAATTAATTAACTTGTCATTAAAAAAAATAGAAGTAGAAAGCCGCCAGTATTATGTTAATTTCCGCTTGAAAAATTAGCTTCTTGTTAATAAGTGACACACAAAATTTGGTTGAAGATGTTGGTAGCCTCAAGTATTCACGTTTCTTTTTTCTTAACTCAAGTAAGCCAACAAGAATAAAGGTTTTTAAGTAATTCTTAAACTTGGACAAATATTTAAGGGGTATATTTAACCCTTAGCTTTCTTTTCTGGGAACAAAAAGTTTCCATGATATAAAAGGTATAAAATAATAAGGTAAAGTTTCTAAGTAGCCTGAAAGTAGGCAACATATTTTGTAAAATAACGAATTTTAATAAAATAGCCTGAAAGTAAGCAATACTTTATTGTGTTATAAGATCGAAACATAGCTGTATTTTTAATAACTAATCCTTAAACTAGGCTATAAAAAACGTTTAAGAAAACTTTGTAATTTTAATATATTTTTGCTATTTAGCTCTTTTATGTATTAATTTGTCCATTAAGGTTTAATTTTTATATCTTTTTAAACACAACACTACTTTAATAAGTTGTTAGAAAAAATTTAAGAAAAAAAGTACATCAAGTAACAACCAAAAGTAGGCTTCATATTTTAACAAGGCATAACATTTAAAGCACTATACTACTGAAATTCAATTACCAAAAAATGTGTAAAAAAATTAATAAAATGTTAAAAACTATATAAAATGTGTATACTACAATAAAACCTTAACAATAATAACAAGTGTCTCTACTAATTATAAAAAACAAAAAGCATATGTCAAGCTTCTGTTAAATCTTTCTTAACATTTTGTCATCCTCCCTCCACTCCACCCCCACACACATACATATGTTAAGAAGGTCATTTAATAATGTTTTAAAGCAAAAACCTTTTAAAATAAGCACCCAAAAAATAACAAGAAGAAAAATATATATTTAATACGCCTAAAAGTATGTTAAATATTTGATAAGTCTAGGAAAAAAACATAAACAGCAGTAGAAAACAAAATATATGAAAATAAAAACAAGGTCTACTTTAAGTAAAATACAAACATATAAACAAACATACCTACATATGTACGTATACATATTAATAAATGTATGTATGTGTAAAGGTACTTGTACCTAGATGTGGGTTACTATCACATACACATATAAACAAGCAAACATACTTATATTCATTTATTTGAACGTTCATTCACTCATTTCTCTATTTTTACTTATGGGCCCACATTTACTTGCCACATTTTTCAGTTTTAATGATTCTTCATTCATCTTACTGCTTTTTTTCTCTAGGTTTTCTTGTTGTTTTTTCTCACTTTTTTTTTTTTTGCTATGGTTTATATTTTTCTATTTTGTTTTCTCTGTTACATTTTACATTTGTAATCAAAGCTATTCATAATATGTTGCCTACTTTTAGGTTGAATATTTATGTATATGGTTTGAAATACATATTGTATGTATGGTTTAACATTAAAAAAAGAATATGGTTTGCATGTTGTATAGAGTAAATATTAAAAAATGTGTGTGTTTGTTTATTTGTTCAAGTAAATGGGTCATTTGGCTGGACTCATTAAATAAAATAGTAAAAATCTGTTGAAAAATTTATATGAAAAATTTAATTTAATGTCTGGCTGTTAAAAAAAACTAAATTAACAATTTTTTAAATTTTAATCATTTAATAGAGATTAAATAAAATCATAGCAACTCAAAAAGAATTTATACAATTCCCCTTAACTTTCTTTTAACATTATTAACTTGTAATACTTTTATTACTATTCTTAATAATAAAGTGTAGTATACTTTAAGGAACTGTTAAGCAAAAAAAAAAAACTTTTAGCGACATTTTTACTTTATTTTATTCATTCAACCAAAAAATCACAACAACTTTATTTGCCAACTAAAGTAGACTTACTCCTTGTCATTTTGTTCTTGTAATTAGTTCATTAGTTTAACTAAATATAATGTTAGTTACTTTTGTGTGTCGTAATAGAACTTCTAACAATTATAATTTTGTTGGTATTGCTATTTTTTGATGGTTTCTAGCTAGTTAATTTAACTACATACATAATTATTATGTATGTATATTATTTCGTTATAAAGTTAGAAACAAACAACTTTTCATACCCTACACCACTTTAGTGTGGAGTGTATATTAGATTTGTGCTGTTGTTTGTAACGCATAGAATTAATGGTCCTATTTAAGTATACCAATCGGCTCAGAATCATTTTCTGAGTCGATTAAACCATGTCCGTCCGTCTGTCTATGTAAACATTGTAATCAAACTACGCAATTTTGAAGATAACATTACTTTTTACCCAAGGACGAACCCTACTGATTTTGGTTGATACCGGTTCATTATTTCACCTAGCCCCCATATAACCGGATCCCCTAAATTGGAATTTGGAGCTCATAATTATGCCAAATATACTAATATCCCTACAAAAATAGGCACAACTACGTTTTATACAAGCATAAATGATAACGCAAAATTTCGTAATGAGCGGGCCTTATTTAACTCAGGCCCGCTTGTAAAGTTCCCCTCTGAAAATGCTTGAACGTCGTTAATTCCCTTATAAACACGTGTATTTCAATGAAATTTAAGTTCTATGTCAAATAGCCTCCATCAGAAAATCAATTTTTTCATCAAAAATATATCGAAATTAAGTAAAAATTCAACATAAATGCTTTATTATTAAAAACAATACAGATTTTATATATACTCATAACTGGTGTAGGTTATCATATGACCGGCCACGCCTGCCAATACATTTTCAACTTGTTATTGTAAGTTTTATTTGGGAAAAAAATTTAGCAGCAATTCTTTTGCTTGTTTTGTGCTGTAATCAACTGTTAAGTTATTACAATGAAAACATTTAAGTTGCTATAAAAATAATAATAAAAACAAATACTAAAAATGTCTTTTGATGGCTTATTAACAAAAGGCCTGTTAGCAGCACTGGAAAACCAAAAATGTGACAATAAACTTAGAAGAAAATCGGTAATTTTGAAAATTAAACCTAAAAGTAGTCAATTTCCATGTATTTTAAATTAAGCCTAAAATTAGGCACTTTTATAAAACATAATTTTCGAAATATATACTTCATTTCTTAAGCTTTAAAATCTATAGAAAATAAGCCTTAAAGTAGACCATACTTTTTATTATCAAAATTCAACATAAATGGAAAAAAATTATTGAAATATTTTTTGCAGCCTTCAAATATGCTATACTTTCTTTGCTTACTTTTTAAAGAAACACAAATAAATTTCAAATAAAACAACTTTAATTTATATTGTCCTCTTAGCTTAATATTTATTTTCAGCTTAAATAAATAAAAATAAAATCCAGTCTCATCCAGTTTTTTGTACAACGAAAAATTTATATTTAATTACATTTTTATGTTGTTTGTTTTTTTTTTTTTCTTTTTATTCTTACACTCTAGATTTTTTTGTGTTTTATTCTATTTAATACTTGATTATTATAAAAAAGAAATGTTGTTGTTTATGTCCTTAATCTCTTTTTATATACGAGAGAAAAAAAAATGTTGTTGTTACAATTATTAGCTTAGAAAATCTGTTCATAATTTATATTAAGTACAAGAAAATAATAAAATACATAAGAAGGAAAAAACAAGAACTTTTTTCTATTTTCTAAAGTATATAACCAAGACAAAGTGTGAGTGTGTGTATAAGTGTGTATGTGTTTGAGAGTGTAAATAACAAATATTTATTATATTTATTATTATTATTTTAATACTAACTTGTATTTTGTTGTTATCTTGTTGTTCTCTTTTCATATGATGTTGTTGATGTTGATTTTGGCTATGATGCAGCGTGGTAGCGACGAACTTTTAAGTCAAGCAGCAGTTATGGCGCCCGCTTCGGACAATAATAATCAGGATTTAGCCACAAAGAAAGCCAAATTGGACTCAAGCACCGTACTGGGTGGAGTTGGTAAGTACAAAAATGAATTTTTATATTTTATTTTCATGTTTTATATTTTTTTTACACAATTTTCTGTTATGTTGCTCTCGTTGCCTTTTTCAATGAGGAGTGTAATAATAATGAGCATAATGTTTGTGTGTAAACGAAACTAAAAACATTTATAGCAATTAAATAGGTTTATAATATATATAATTTTTTATTTATTTTTCTTTTTAACAAAATTTATGAAACAAGTAATTTTTTGTTGTTTCTAGGAGATTTTGTAAAGAGCTTATAGGTTTTTTTTTGTTTTTTTTTTTTTTTTTCTCAGAAAAATTTTATAAGAAGAGATAAAAATCATGTTAAATAATACTTATAAAGGAGCAACAGTATTTGAGATTTTATGAAAAAGTTTTAAAAAGTATTAAATTTATAAAGTTTTTCTATATGTACTTTATTAAGGCTGTAAAATAGATTAACAGTCTAGCTGTTGAAGATATAATGTAGAAATAAAATTATACGAAAAGAAATGTGAAAGGGATTAATTGCATTTTATATGAAAACTTAGTCATATTAAAGTAAAAAAAAGTATTTTATACATATAGTTATACCCTACAACACAATAATGGGAAGAGTATTATGCTTCTGTGTTGATGTTTGTAATACCCAAAAATATTGTTCCTACACCAACCTTAAAGTATAGCAATCGGCTCAGAATCACTTTATGAGTCGATTTAGCTACGTCCGTCTGTGTGTCCACGTAAACCTTGCGTTTACTCTACACATACTCTTCTTTTGACCCAAGCCTATTGAAAAAGGTTAATATCTGTCCATTATTTCGTAAAGCCCCCATTGAATCAATGGACTAGGGATTAGTTTATTGACTATGCTATTGACTTGTATAAGGACTTTATCATTTAGCCATAGACTAATCTGAAGACTAGCTTTTCGACTTATCTATGGACTAGTCTACAGACTAGTTTAGTCTATAGACTAGAAAATGTCCTAGTTTCTGGATTAGTCTATTGATTAGTTAATCTACTAGACTATTGACTAATAAACTTGTATATGCACTGGTCTATTGTGGGCTATTATATGTAGGCCTAGTCTATTATCATACCTATTGACTATTTTATACTTAATAAGTCGTAAAAGTACTACAGTAATATCGTTATCAAAAAGAACTGAAAAGTACAATTGTTCTGAATTCGTCATCATTGAGCAAGCATCCTTAATACTTACTTAGTAAACGATTGAAATTAGAAGTGTTTACTGTCCTCCTACCCAAAGTAACAAGTTCTTCTATAAATATTATTTCAGTTGCAAGTAGTTAATCTTAATTAATTACTCTCTCCCTATTTACTCTCTTTCTATGGAAAAAAAGCTTTTAAACACATTTTTATGCATTTTGCATATTAGTTTTCAGGCGTAGAGATATTTTTTATAAAACTAAAAAAGAAATTAAAAACAACATAAATTAATTAAAATTAAATTTATAAATATGTCGATTAAATAAATATGAAGTTTAAGTTGTGAGTGATTTTTTTAACAAAAGTTCTAAATAAAATAAAAAAAAATTTAAAGTCATAAATTAATTAAAATGTCAGTTATATAAAGTTTTATTACAATAATTGCAATAAGAATAAAAACATCATAAAATTAGTATTTTCCTACACTCTGCTAGTAGTTTATGATGAAAAATTATCTTTAGGTAATTATATTTTACAGCCTCCTGAAAGTATGCTGTAAATTAGCATATTAGTTCTGATTTGAGTTATATTAATAACATCAATATGTATATTTTTTTCATTTTAACCAAATTTTCTAAAAAAAACAGCTAAATAAAGCTTAAAATCTTTAGCCACAAAAATGTTTTTACCATTTAAACAATACACACACACATTAGTAGTACTTATACACATACATATTAGTAAATATGCGTAATATTTAATAAAATTTCTAAATACAAAAGCAAATGCCAATATGATGCTCTGGTCAGCCAATATGATGACAAAAAAACCTTTAATAAACAAACAAAAAAATAGAAACACCAAAATATCATTGATATAATCTACTGCAGCAGCAACAGCGTAATAATAAAACCAACTACCGCGTTATAACCACAATAACATGCACAATTTTAGACAATTTAATTTGAATTCTTTTAACGTTTTTGTAAACACCATAACTACAACTATTTCTCTCTTACCACACCTCCCCCCATCCCCCCAACACAAGCATATTTGCCACAACACTCTAACATACTAAATTGTATACATGTGTGTACACTTGTTAGTGTAAACCACACTAAAGCATACTTTTGAGAGCCTAAAATATTTTTGCTGTTCAATAAATATTTATTATTGAAAATACCAATACAGTTATGGTAGAAAAAAACCGTAAAGCCCAACCCGCTAACAATTTTACAAACCATCAGGTGGTATGCTTTGTTGTCATAACGCAGCAACAACCACTAGCCGCCACCAACCGTTGTAATAGCCACAAGTATCCATTCATTCATTTATTATGTTGTATGGCTAAAAACAATCAACACTCTCCTACCTGTCTCAAACCCTAAGGACCTTTATGTTCATTGCTAAAAACCTTTAACAAAAATATTTTAATTTTTTCCCCCGTTTTTGTTTATAAAAACATTTCATAATAATTATTTTTTTTCAATTACGGACTGTTTGGTATTTTTTATTATTATTTTTTTCCTTTTACTGTACAAACAAAATATTTGTTTATTATTGCAATATTTATAAGTTTTGTAATATTAAGGACATTTATAATTATTCTTTGCATTTTTTGTTGTTAAATAAAATACCTTTAAATGGGGCTAATTTGTTGTTTCATAAAAGCAAATAATCATTAAATTAATGGATAAAGGTTTTAATTGTTTTATATGTTTAAACCATTTCTAAGGAAATTTTTAATTTTATATACTTTGTGCCTTTTTGACCTTTATTACACCGGCCAACAAAATTTTAAAAAAGTTGAAACTCAGAGATAAAAATTTACTATTCTAAAGACCTAATTAAAATTACTAGGCGATATCTCCTATCTTTTTCGAAATATCATAACTTAAAGTTTGACCAGTGTTATTAAAATATTTATGTTAGCCTAAAAATAGACTATACTTTTTATACACAGTTCTCATTATACCCTACACCACTATAGTGGAGAGGGTATATTGGGTTTGTGTTGACGTTTGTAACGCACAATAATATTGGTCCTACACCCACCTTAAATACCAATCGGCTTAGAATCATTTTCTGAGTCGATGTAGCTATGTCCGTCCTTCTGTCCTTCTTGTAATCCAACTACAGGTCGCAATTTTGAAGATAATTCAATGAAATTTGGTACATGATCTTCTATTGTCACGAAGCCTATTGGAAATGGTTAAGATCGGTCCATTATTTCACCTAGCCCCCATACAACTGAACCTCCGAATAGGGCTTGTAAACCTTGTAATCAAACTACAGGACTCAATTTTGAAGATAATTCAATGAAATTTGGCACACGATCTTCTATGGTATCGGAGACGAAGCTTGTTAAAAATGGTTAACATCGGTCCATTATTTCACCTAGCCCCCATACAACTGAACCCCCCGAATAAGGCTCTTAAGTTCATAATTATGTTTAATATACTCGTATCTCGACAAAAAGCATATATATCACATTTTAATTTTGTAACAGGTGTAGGGTATTATATGGTCGGCCTCGCCCGACTATAATTTCTTACTTGTTTTATCATTGATTACCTGGTATTTATTAAAAATTATAATTTTTCTATAAAAATGAATAAAAATAATTAATTTAAAATATTTTTTTTAATCAACTACACTTTTTTTCTAAGTGTAGTAGTTCCACACTAACCACTGACTAGTTTTTAATTTTACCTATTATATGGTGATGGTCTTTGGCTTACAATGTAACCATATAGTACTCTACTTTTATGTTTTTGTTTGAGTTTCTGGGATTACAATCACATCTCTATACATGCATACAAACAGACATTCACTGCTCTCTATACGTATTGTACGTTTGTTAATAATCATGTTTATAAAGGTAAAAATTTTCACTTATTTCCTTTTTATCCCCCTACTACCAAACACTTTGCAAGTCCTTCAATATTCAAACTGTCGTAGTAATAGATGAAGAGTATATGCTATTGCTTGCCTCGATGGATTTGGTTGTTACAATATTTTTCAGTCTGTTCAGGCGTGTATGTGCGAGAGATTGTCGTTGTTGCAAAGTATTTGTAACCACAAAAACATAATATTTATTTATTACTTTACAAAGGACTTTTCTATTAATTAAAAAGCAACAAACTACAGTTATATACATATATATTTTTTGTATTTCCTCGTGTGTTGGTTTAGCTTTAGCTACCCCACCCTTGCCACAATTTTTACCATGTTGTGTTCAATATTGGGGCTTCATCTAACCATCCGTAGCTTGGTTTGGTTGTTGGCAGAAAAAATCAACAACACAAAACCTGGAAATTGAAAGGTTGTTACAATTGTTACTGGCGGGGGGCTGCTGATAACTTTGATAATGGCGGTAACAATGTTGTATGTTTTTTTGTTCTGTTGTTGGATTATCAAACAGTAAGTTGGTTTCAATTTGGCTGCAGGCTTTATTATATTCCTTTAACATTTTCTCTAACAACTTTAAACACTTTGTTGTAAACAAAACCAGCTAAAATTAGCATTAAAAGTAAATTATGTATTTCATTTACCAGCACTAATTAGTTTTTAGCTTTTTTTAACCTTTTGTCAAAAGGCCTACAAATTAGCAAATAAGGCTACTACATAGCTTTTGATTCTAAAATTGTATGATTTTTATTAGTTTTTATTACTTTTATTGTTGTCAAATATATAACAAAACAACAATAGCCAATTGTACAAATAAAAGTAAATGTATATAAATTTTTTGCTACAAAAAAACTCTTACGACAACACCTGTATCCTACCCACAACTCTCAGCCATTGTTGTTCAAAAAAAAAAAACTTTTCAACAATACT